GGAGAGTCAGGTTGCACAGAATCTCCTGGCTGGAGGTGGGGATCCGCTGAGGACGGGCTGGGGCTGAGCTGGGGAAATCCAGTGCTGGGACGGTTTCAGGAGAGATGGCTCTGCTTGTCCCTTCTGGGAATCCTGTCATTCAGATCTCAGCTCAAATATCGCCTCCTCCGAAAGGCGCCCTCTGACCCACCCAGGCCACACTTGTCACCTTGTCGCCTCTCCTGTTTTGTTTGTCTGAGTAGCACTTGGCACCTTCTGATCGCTGTTTATGTGAGGCTCTCCTCTGCACCCCTGGCTGTGGATTGAGCCATTGCATGCACGTCGGTAGAGACCTGCACATACAGGGCAGGGTGGGCTGAGGCAGGCAGCCATGCGATCGATGACCCCCCAGAAGGGGCCACAACCCGGCGAGGAGGAGGGACCCTCCTGCTTGCAGGATGCTTGGCCATTCCCTGGGACCCGGGCGGCAGTGTGGGCTCCTGTGCCTGCTCCTGCATCGTGAAGCTAGCCACTGCTCATCTTGTGGTATGTTGGAATTTGGCCATTCCCTCTCCTCCCCCTTTGACCCAAAGTTACCTGAACTGTGACTTTTCATGTAAGACTAATATGGGATCCTTTAGGAAGCGCTAACCATGACCGGCAAGCCCCAGGACTGTTTCCCGCCAGGCTCCTCCGGGCGCAATCTGAGAAGCGGGCCCAGGCGCTGTGCTTTCAGTGCATCCTGGCTCCCCTGGCGCCTCCGTGGATGGCACCGTTTCCAGTGAAGTGGAACCATTTCCAGTCTCTCCATCTGGGCTTGGGAACCTGCAGCATCCGGGCAGGAAGCGGTGGAAGCATGAGGAGGGGTGTCCGTGTTAAGACTCCGGGGTCAGTTTCCTTTGCTTCATTTCACTCTCTGCCAGAGCGGCAGAGCGGAGCCGGCAGAGGCCGTGGGGCTGGGAGAGGCTTGGGCGGCCTTGGCCTGTATTGCTGCTCGCAGGTAACACCGTGGGGAGAGGACAACCAGGGGCAGCTTCCTGCACCCCTCCCTCAACAGCTGCTGCTGAGTATCTTCTAAACCGCCTTTCCCTTTATAGATGCGGCTAGGCCTGTTAAATATTCCAGAAGCCCCGCACTCCTGCCGAAATCCTCTTTCGCTTGTTACTACTCTCCTCGCTTCATCCCAGGATGCGCATTTACTCCCCTTGACATTTTCGTGTTCCCGAAGTTGGGATGCATCTTACAATTTATATCTGTCTACCTCTTTATCATATGTTGACATATGTGTTTTTTTCCTCACGAAAATTGGCAGCTTGTTTTTAATCAGTGGCCCCTCAGGAAGCAGGAACTAGGGTGTCTTCTGCACCACTTGCCACCTCCATGCCTTAGTCCAAGTTGTTTCCAAGAGTCTCACTGCCGTCTCTGCCTTCCCGCCTTGTCCCCAGCAGCCAGAGGAATCCTTCTCAAAACCAAACCGGGTTGTGGCTCTGGCAACTTCTCATCAGTCGACGGTCAAACCTAGAGAACTTTTCTTGGCCTCTGCTGTAGCCTCCTCCATAGCTGCTTGCCCTCAAGTACTGTGTGCTCTAGTCTTTTGATTTTCTGGAGGCCTGCCAAGCTCTGTGCTGTCTCAGGGCCTTTGTACTTCCCCCAGGGAACCTCATGCCAGCCTTCAATTTGGCTCAAACCGCACTTCCTTAGAGAAGCCTTCCCTCACCACCTCGTGTGGTCCTCTGCGCTCCCTGCCCTATTCTTTTCTTCCAGCGACTGGTACATCCTGACCTCGTGTTATGTGATGGATTCTTTGCCCATGTTCCCCTTGAGCGTGAGAAGGTCCGGGAGGGGGTCCTGGGCCACTGTATCCTGGCTCCTGCAACGCTGTCCAGCATGCAGCTGTCACACATAGGTCTTTCTGTTCATTGTCTAGCACCTTGCATAGGCCCCGCACATCTAGGTTTGCGATAAGCGTTTGCTGAGCAAATGAAGAACGGGAACTTCTCAGTCAGCAGAAAAGGCTTTTGGGGGTTCCAGGTGCCCTCTGTATGCAGTTGAGTCCTTTGCAAGTCCCTACGTAGCAGGCACACCCTAGCTCTGCTTGGGCCCTGGACACCGTTTCCAGCGCTGTGTGGGTTCCCTGGCCTGGGCCTGGCGTCCCCGAGGGGCACAGGGAGCTGGAGAGCTATGCAGGAGGCGGCCGCAGCCACCCTTGGGCAGAGCCCGCTGGCTTGTGTACTTGGAGGTTTAATGTGCTTGGTCGGAGCTCCTCTGGGCACGTAGAGCTCTGGGAGATGGGTGGCCTGCGGGGCTGAGTCTGGACTGGGAGATGGAGTCTGGATCTCCCACCCCGACTGGGTAATGCCTGTCATGCTCCTTGGCTCTTGCTGCTCTGCGTTGGGGTGAGAAAGTGAGCAACGTCAGGCCCTGGGGGCTGGGGCCTGTTGCCAGTGTCTGGGACCGGGACACAAGTCACTGATTTCACAAAAACAGTGAAGTGGTGCCTGATGGCTAGTCAGCTGGAAGATCCTTACAGATATTTCTGATAGTAGATCTTTGTGAGACTTTGGACCTGTAACTCAGAAGGAGTTCACAACTGAGATTTTTTTTTTTGCGTTAACAAAACTGTCCATTCTCATCTGCTTATTTTTGTGAACATGGCCTCTTAGTGTTTACTTTATTTAATTAGTTAATTTTAAAGAACTGGCTTATCTTTATGTGTTTTTTGTTTTGGGGGAGGTGATTAGGTATTTATTTATTTTGATGGAGGTACTGGGGATTGAACCCAGGACCTTGTGCATGCTAGGCGCACACTCTACCACTCAGCTATACCCTCACCCCTTAGCGTTTACTTTAAAAAGGAGAAGAATGAAGAAATGTCAGAATAAAAGCCCTATCTCATTCTAGCAATCAGAAAAATTCACCTTGGATACAGGAACTAAGGGAAAAAAAGATGCATCCATTCCATTGAGAGAGGCAGTGCCAATTACCTACTATTTATGGTTAATGTTTAGTAACTATTATGATAGATTTATGCTGTGTTGATGGTTTATGTCTATGATGTATGTTCAGCTGATATCGTAATGATAACGCATCATGAAGGACTTTCTTCTTACATGTAGAGCCTTAGGTCATGAAAATGTTTTTAAGAAATTTAATTTCAATTTGAGCAATAATTAAGATGCTCAATAGTGACCTTTAGTCACAAGCATGTATTGGGATAAAATTCCCATGGGGAGGGGAACAGGAACAGAATTCAACTTCAAGGCAAAAAAGGTGTAAATAGTAAAGAACTTGTTTATAGCTTTTTCTTTTTAAAGGGTATTGAGACTCTAGCAAGTTTTAATAGAGCCTCATGAATGTTTATATAAAATTTGCAATATCTACAGTAGGCTGGAAATGACATCTTTTGCAACTATTCAATCTCAGGTAAAAAATATTAGATGTCAACTTAAAAATGGATATGGAGGGTACGTACAGCTTGCAAAATTATTTTAGGGATACGTGACCAAGAAAGTGTTCAAAGAATGCTGAGTTTGCTCTATTGTGGATGTTTCTGTCTGATTCTGGGGAAGAGGAGTGGTATTTCTTAGTGAGCAGGATCTCTTCGGGGATATTTAATGGGCATTTCACACTTAGTAGGTTCAAAACTGAGCCCAGATCTGCCCCCACCTCCCCCGGCCAACTGCGTTTTCCCACCCCAATTATGGCAGTTCTAGTCTTCCCATCACCAGACCCCAGACTGTTTGACTTGGCTCTTTCTCTCACGCCTCATGTCACAAAGGCAGCAAATCCTGTATTTCTGCCTTCACAATACATGTGGATTATACCACTTCTCATCGGCCCTGCTGCCATCACCAGCCCCAGGCCGGCGGTTGGCAGGCTCTACCCGTGAAGGGCCAGATGATAAATATCGCAGGCTTTGCTGGCCACACAGCCCCTGTGACAGCTTCTCAGCTCTGCTGCTGTCACCCAGACAGGATGGCTGTGTTCCAGTGCAACTTTGTGGGTACTGAAATCTAAATTTCATATAATTTCCAGGCATCATGAAATAGGCTGCTTCTGATTTTTCCCAACTGTTTAAAAATGTAAAAATCATCTTAGCATGTACAGAAACAGGTGGTAGAGCAGAACTGGCCTGTGGGCCATAGTTTGCCGACCCCTTGGTCTAAGCCATCCTTTGTCTTGATAACCTCTTATTGGGCTTCCTGCTTCCATCCTTATTTCCCTACAGTCCAGAGGAATCCTTTAAGAACCCAAGTCAGGTCACTTCCCGAGGGGGACCCAGAACCTTCTATTGTTCCCACCTCACTCGGAGTAGAAGCCACAGACCTTACCTGGCCCAAGAGACCCTGCACCACCTGTCACCTCCCTGCCCTTACCTCCTCTCCTCCCTTCCTGCCCGCCCCCCCCCACACCCACCCCTGGGCCTCAGCTCTGTTGCTTGAGCACACCAAGCATGCTGCACCTCAGGGCCTTTGCATAGGCCATTCCTCTGCCTGGATGTGCTCCCTGGATCTCTTGACTCCCCTTTCTTTCGCGGCCTTCAGCACTTGGTTCAGTATCTCCTCAGGGAGTCCGTTCTTGACCACTTTATGTGAAACTGCCAGCTCCCTTCACCTGCCATTCCCTGTCCCCTTTTCCTGCTTTGTTTTTCGCATGGCCCATGTCATCTTCTGTTACGTTATGTGTAACTATTTTATTGTTTCTATTCCCGCTGCAGTGTCGGCTCCACATGGGCAAGAACTTCTGTCTCTTTCCATGGCTGAACCCCCAGAGCCCTTAACAGTGCCTGGCAGGTAGTAGGTATTCAGTCACTATTTATGCAGTGAATGAATAAGCCTCAGTGTCCTCACTTGTGAAAGGGGATTAAGAGTATAGGAGATAATTGGGTCGAGGACTTGCTTCCATGCCTGGCTCACTGTGAGCATGCTGGAGGTGTTAGCTGCTGCTGCGGGTATAAGGCCGGCCACGGGGGCCCCAGACTGGGCTGTTGCACAAGCTGCACTCCCCAGGGGTGGACTGACCTGCCCGCTGCACTCGGGCTGGGCATGTTGGGCGCAGCTCGGGAGTCGGCCTCGTGAGCTCCTTCTGCTGCTCCTGTCAGCCTGTGGTCAGCTCGAGGTCAGCCTGCATCCATAGGGTTCTGGTTCTCCACCTCTTCCAGCCTCCTGGCCCGACAGTTCCTTCCTGCCCAGAGATGCAGAGAGACCTTGTGGTCACCAGCCTTGAACCTGCAAAGGGGGTGCAGGGGTGTGGATCTGAACTGTCCTCCAGGGGTCTGACCCTAGGGACAGCCCTGGAGGAAGAGCGTTCAGCTCTCAAGAGCAAGAACAGGCAGGGCCCTGCCCCTGGAGCTTGTAACTTGTGTCCTTGGGCTGGTGACTTGTGCTTCTGAGTCTCGGGCACCTCATCTGTAAAGTGGGGTGACAGTGCCAACCTAACCTTGCTTGATGGTGCTGGGAGAGGGAGCAGGGAAGGGGTGGGGAGCAACCGAGGGGGTCGGGTTGGCTCACGCCCAAGTGGGAGGGTCTGGGTGGTAAGGGTTTGGGGGGCATCATCCATAGGGCAGAAGCCTGTTTGGGGAAGTCAGCCCAGGGGAGTTGGCTACCTCCATCTTTCCCTGGGAGCTTTTGAAGCTGTAGATGCCTGGTCCTCCATCAGAGATCCCGATGTCTCTGTCTAAGTTGTCCAGGCCAGGACTCTTCGTGTGGGTTTCACGAGCAGTCAGGGTTCAGGGCCACTGGGTGGGGCAGGGCCCTCCCACATCTGCCACCGGAATCATCTCTGTCAGGTCCTCTAATGAATATTCTGTTTACCAGGTAAAGAAGCCAGGGCTCAGACAGGGACGCTGGTCTGACTTTGGCCTCTGCAGCAACGCCTGTTGCTCAGTGTTGGAGGCCCCCCCTGCCCCCCATGGCATCATCTCTCTGGGCTCATTGGTGGCTTTAGCCTGTGGCAGGAAGCCTTGCGGGAAGTGTGGAGACAGCTGCTGACCCTGACTGGGCCCCTCTGGGTGGTATCCGTGGGGGTGACAGGCCTTTTGCCCTTGGTGTGGCCTGACTCTGCTGGGGCCAAAGGAGGTGGGGCCAGGGGAGGGGCAGGCTCAGCCTCCCGGTGGCCCTCCCTGTGGAGTTGACAGGTTCTGCAGAGACCAGACCTTCAAAGACTGGATGTGCTGGAGCTGGAATGTCAGCAGGGAGCGGGGAAGGGTGCCTTCCAGATAACTCGGTCCAGGGTTTGTTCCCCCCTTTTTTTTTGTTAGCGTTTAGCCCTGTTCTTCAGCGTGGAGGAGGTATTGCTTTGTGTGGTGAGTGATGGGATTCTTTGGGCCCAAGGAGGCTGGGTTGGCACTGGCTCTGGCGCTTCCTGGCTACGTGCTGTGAGCAAGGGCCCCCCCCTGTTTCTGAGCCCTAGTTTCTGAGCTGCCTACCTGGGGTCACAGTCTTTAGCTTACAGGCCCAGGGAGGCTAGGTGAGATATGCAGGTAAAGGTCTTAGCACAGTCCTTGGCGCAAGGTAAGCATCTGATAGATGAAACTAGTGGCGGCACTTCCAACAGAACAGGGCCTCGCAGCGCTGCTCTGCCAGGACAGCGCCCCCGGGAGGCCCTGAAGGCACAGCCTGTAACTGGGCACCAGGGACCTGCTGGTCAAAGAGCTTGAAACCCAGAGTCCTCACTGTGTTTTGGCCCAGCATCACCTTCATCTTGGGCCTTCTATGGTCACAGCAGCCAGCCTGGGCACTCAGCACCCGAAGAATGTCCTCCAAGGCTAGATGCTCCTGGGCTGCGCCAGCTTCTCCTGGCTCTGGATCCTTGGCATTCAGACCCTGGCCTGTGCAGGTGGGAGGCAGGAGCTGTTTGAGGGCCTGGGAGTGGGTGGTCAGCCTCTCTGCCCTTCCCACCCTGGGTGACATTACCCCCCAGCTGCGGCACCTCAAGGAGGTTGGTGCAACCACTCCAGACGCCGCAGAGAAATGGGGTCATGAGCTGAGGCCACTGGGGAAGGAGGTATTTCTGGCCCAGCAGGTGTGGCCTGTGCTGGCTTCCTGGCAGCTGAACCCAATGTCTTCTCAGCTGCCCTGGCGTGAGCAGTGTGACTTCGATATTTCTGGAAAGTGGAAGGGAGAAGGAGCCGAAAGAGCTGAGCTGCTGAGTCCAGGTGAACACGCTGAAGCCTCTGCATCTGCGAAATGGGAGAGCTGGGCCAGCACTGTGCTGCTTGGGGCCAGGCCTCCATCCTCCGGGTGCACCAGCCCTTGAGCCCCGCGCCGGGGCTGTGGGGGCCGGCTGGCTGAAGGACCTGTTGGGCCCTCTGCATCTTTGCCTAGAGTCCTGGGTTGCACTGAGCAGGGCTTGCCCCAACAGCAGGCCTGGTGTGCCCCAGCCTTGGGAGAAGATGTCGCCCGCTGGAGCCCACACTCCCCTGTGTGCAGGTGCTGGCTGGGTTGTGCCAGGCTGCCCAGCACCAGGCAGCTGGTTTGCAGGGCCCTGTTCTGGTGGGCAGACACTGCGGGGTCCCAGAGAGTCTGCTCTAGGCAGGGTGCAGGCCCTCTGCAGACTGCATGCTGGCTCGGGGTGTGGCCCAGCAGCCCGTGTGTGTGGTGGGGGGTCTGGGCTCAGGAGTTCACTGCTGCATGACCTGGGTGTACTCCTCACCCCACTGAACTTGGCTTCCTCATCTGTGAAATGGAGTTAATGGTTCCTGCTCCCTCGGCTGGGAGTCTTGTTTACAGATGGGAGGGGCCTGAGGAACATTGGGCCCACTCTGTTTTTAAAAATGGGGGAACTAAAGGTCAAGAGGGGCCTGGGCTCCTGGCTTGGGAGGCCTTCTGGACACTGGTTCCTGGAGACCTGCAGTTGTAAACTCTTCCAACCTGGGGTCAGGGGCGCCTACCATTCCTGCTGCCCCTCTACTTGGTCCTCCTTCCTGAGGCTCAGGTCAGAACCTTAGGACCCCCCCCCCAATTCAAACCATCTGCCAACCTCGTCACCTCCATCTTCATTGTCTGTCCAAAATTCCCACTTTTCACCCCCTCCATGGCTCCCATCTCACTCAGAGTAGAAGTCAGAGTCCTCCCTGTGGCTCACAGCGCCATGCATGATTTGCCCATCACTTCCCTGTTCACGCTTCCCCTCTGTCCACCTTGCACACTCCGCTCCTGCCACACTGGTCTGCTGCTTAAACATTCTAGGCAGTCCAGTCTCAGGGCCTTTGCACTTGCTGTTCCCTCTACCTGGAACTCTTTTCCCTTGATGTGTGCATGGTCTGTTCCCTCACTTCCCCTGGCCTCTGCTTAGATGCCTCTTCCTCAGGGAGGCCTTCCCTAACCACTCTGTCTAAAATGGCCATCCTCCCCTACCCCACCCCTGCCACCTTTCTCTGTTCTCCACAACTTGTGGTGCAAAACATGCCACTGTTTATTGTCTGCCCCACCCCCCAGCACACAGTTTGAAATGCAGCTTCTGTGAAGGAAGGGGTTTGGTTTTGTTCACTGCAGTGCCCAGGGGAAGAGTGGGGTGCAGGAAAGGATGAAGGAAGGAAGGAAGGAAGGAAGGAAGGAAGGAAGGAAGGAAGGAAGGGAGTGAGTGAATGAATGTGAGGCTCTCTTGATCCCATCCTGCACCAGATGTACCTGGGTCATTTACCTGGAGCTCAGGCTTCTGCGGACACCCTTCCGGGTGGTGGGAGCAGAGGCCGTGGCCACAAGGGGGCAGTGGGGAGCGCAGCAGGCTCCTGGTGGTGGTGAGCTGTAGTAGGGCCGGCGGTGCGCCCCGCCTCTCCCCGTCTCTCCCACCGCATGCGTCTTGCTATTGTTAGGGTTCAGGGTTACTGTAACCAGCTCATTGCACCACCTCTGTGACCTTGGTGTGGTTGGGCCCCTTCATGGCCATGGTCAGAATCTGGGGAGAAGGGGCCCGGCTCCCTGTGTGTCGACCCTTCTTTTTTGCTCATATAGGTCTAATAACGTTTATTCTTTGTAAGAATTATTCTAGACTGGACACGTGTGTGCGCTTTCTCAGGGAGGCCTTCCCTGACCACTCTGTCCAAAATGGCCATTCTTCCCACTCCTGCCTCCGCCATTCTCTCTTTTTCTCCACAGCTCCTGGTGCAAAGCATGTCACTATCATCTGTCCCCGCCGCCTGCGCTCTCCCCTAGCACACACACCCAGGTGGTTATCACCTGGAAATCTTACAGTGACCCTGTGAGATAGCAGGAGGGGGGCAGCCCACTTTGTAGATGAGGAAATGGAGTCTCAGAGAGGTTGAGTAACTTGTCCTGGGCCACACAGCCAGGAAATAGGTGAATCTTTTTGAACTCGGAGCCTCCTTGTGAGGGGCTGCTGGGCCTGTGGTGCCGCCTCCGAGGGCCCAGGCTGTGTGGAGCCTGTCAGCCACGTGGGGTTGCTGGTGAAGAAAGACGGTTCCTAGGAGAGCTGGCACCATCCCTGACCCTTCCCTTCGGTGAACAGTGCCCCAGAGCCTGGGAGGAAGGTCTGGCAGCCAGAGTGCTGGGCCCCACAGGGTCACCGGAGCTGGGGGGGTGCGTGTCCGCAGGCCTCCCAGAGGCTTCCCTGGAGCCAGGCCCCCAGCCCAGGACAGGGAAAGCCTCCTGCCAGCCCCTGCATGGGGGCGCCTGCCTCCGCCCGCGGGTCTGGGCAGCGGGCGGCCCCCTCTCCACCCAGAGCACGGCGATGGAGGAGGGAGGGAAAGGCCTTGGCTCAGAGCACGGTGGGGAGGGAGCTTTGAGGCCCCACCTGTGTGACCTTTGGCAGGTGCCTCACACAGGTGTTTAGTGAGCACAGCTCCTTGCCTGGCTGTTCTAGGTGCTGGGAAATGACTGAGAACAGGACAGTCCCCGCCCTCCCTGACCATCCAGTGGGAGGCAGATCCAGTGGGAGGTGGATGGTAAATGTCTGGGTTGCTATTTTAAGTTGATGGTCAGGAAGGGCTTCACTGAGAAGTTGTCTCAAGACCTGAGGAGGTGAGGGAGGAGCCCTGTGGGGCCTAAGGCCGAGCGGTTCAGGCAGTGGGAACAGCATGTGCAAAGACCCTGAGCCTCTCCTACTCTTGAGCTCTAATTTTCTCAACTACCAGATGGGGACCATCCTGGGACCCTTGCCTGCTTGACTCTGGGCACCCATGCTAGCTTGAAACAGGTGCTTAGAAAATGGGCTTTTCTACTACTGCTCCCTTGATCAGCAGCATCTTCATTTCCACGAAGGCAGTGAACACTGGGCCCTGCTGCCCCACAGTGGCTCTGGGTGCTCCCCTCTGGGCCTGCCCCTCCCCTACCCCTCCTGCACGGTGGGCTGTGCCCTGCCCCTTGTCCTGCCCTCCCCTCTCCCCCAAGCCCTGACCTTGTGCTGCCACGAGTTGCTTTTGGCTGGGCCCCGGAATCTGGGGACTCTGGGTGAGAATTCCTCCCAGGCTAGGGAACTGTCATCGCAGACCCACCCTCCTGTGCCTCAGGCCAGGGCTCCTGCCCTGTCCTTGTCCCCTGTCTGGCCATTGTGCCTGAGGCTTTGGGGCCACACCCCCTGCCTGTGGCCAGTGCCTGGACTTCAGGTCAGTGACACACACCCTCAGGCTTTGCTTCATTCATCCTTTGAACATATCAGCCCCCTGCCCCAGCCCCTTCCCTCTGCAGGGGCAGGAAGGGCTGCCCCATCTCCCTCAGGAGGGCCTACCGCACCTCCCTGTCCTTCCCTGGCCTTCTTCCCAGGGATGGGGCCTGGGCCTGCTGCCTCCCTCCCCTCTGTGCTCAGGACCTCTGTCTCGGGCTCTGCTCAGCAGTCCCAGGCCTCTCCTGGTCCCCACCCCACTCTGGCCTCAGGCCTAGGCAGGCACAGGGGTGTGTGAGTGTGTGTGACAAGCATGAGGGGGAGGTGTGTACTCAGGCACACAGCAGGGGGTGGGGGTGGCAGTGGGGAGGGAGGGGTGCAGTAGAGGGTAAGCTTAGGGACTGAAGACTGGGGAGCATTTGATCGGGTCTCACATTTGGGCCCTCAGCCCAGAGGGGCGGGGAAGTGGGGAACCTGCTACTTTGTCCCTGGACCTTTTCTTTTTATGGGTAATTGGGACCAGTGTGTTAGCTCCCCCTTTAAAAAATAATTCATTGTGGTAAAATTCACATAACATACAATTAAAATCCATTTAAAAGTGAGTGGTTCGGTGACATTTAGCACATTGACGGTGTCATCTCTGTCTAGTTCCACAGCCCTTTTATTGCCCAAAGGGAGACCAGGCCCCGTTAGCTGGCACTCCCACCTCCCCTGCCCGATTCCTGGCAACCACCAGTCTGCTTTCTGTCTCCTTCCATTTAGCTATTCTGGACATTTCACATAAATAGGAGACCCTTTCTATCTGGCTTCTTTCACCTAGCCTCCCCTCCTCCCCACCTGGCATTTAAAAATGTAAAAATTAAACTTTTTGGGGAGTAATTATATAGGCACAGGGAGTTGCAAAATAGTAAGAGAGGTCCTGGGTCCCTCCCCTCTACCTCCCCCAACCCTGGCCCAGGGCCCTTCCGAGCTCTCTCTGGGTAAAGACGGCGCCAGGGCCCGGGATTTGGGGGCAGGCAATGACAAATGAGGACCTGTGCTACCCCAGTGGCCCTGGGCTGGGGCAGTCCCCTCCCCAGCGGCCAGGCCCTTGAGGGCCGGGCTTACCTCTGCAGGGCGCTGCGGCTCCTCTCTGGCCTCCGGCGGGCCTGGGTGCGGCGGTGGCGGCGGGCGGTGGCAACAGCTGCAGCGGCGGCTGCTGGGAGCGTGGCCCCGGTCCCGGTCCCGGCCGCCCCTCCTGCCGCCCAGCTTCCTTCCCAGCAGCCAGTCGGGGCCCCCAACGGCCGATACTCTCCTCCTGGGTCCTGGTCCGGTGCCCGGTCGGGGGACAGGGTAGGATTTCAGCCCTCCCCCAGCAGCTGGCCGGCCGTGAGAGGGGCTGGTTGTATTTTAAGCTGTTGAGTGGTTCAGCAGGAACTCGGAGGCCTGCTCTCCCCGTCGGTGCGGTGCTGCCTTCCTGCGGACCACATGGGCTCCGAAGGCACGTGGGCACTGCCCGCCTGGGACCCAGGAACTATTAATACACCTGCAGCCACAGGGCAGGCCCCGTGCCTGCCCAGGGACCTGCTCTTCTTGCCCTTTCTAGCACATTCCACATGTGCCCCTTCCCTCTCCCAAGAGTCCCCTTGGTGCAGGCGATATGACCAGCTCCCTGTTTCTGGTTTCCTGTTTCTGGTCCCGCTGTCTGGCCTTGTTACCTTGTGACTCAGAGGGGCTCAGTAACCTGCCCCCGAAGGCCACGTGGCCGTGCAGAGCCCCCAGGTGACAGCAGGTGCACTCTAGCGTGGCAGCAGTAGGGTTGGCCAGGACTTCTTGGCTGCTGGGCCCTCTCCCACCCTCACATCCGTGACTTGGGGCGGGCATAGCATAGATGGGCAAAGAGGCCCGCTTGTGGCAGTGACCTCCTGGCCAGCAGGGGGGCTGGGATCTGAACCCAGGCCTGTGCCTTTCCCTTTGTCCCAGCACCACAGGGTCTCCTCACACCTGTCCTCACGGCCTGAGGTTTCAGGGCCCTTCCTGTCAGCACCTCACTTGCGTTGTCTTGTGGGGCCCTCACAGCCCCTGAGGTACACACCTTACCTGCCCAGAGAAGCTGAGGCTCAGAGGAGTGACAGCTGGAGTCACCCAGTGACTGTGTGGCAGGGCCAATTCAGTCCCGTGTGCTGCACACCACGCCCCTGCCTCCCCCACTGGCAGTGGGATGTGTGTGAGGGGAGCCCTTCCCTTTGCAGGGGTTCTGGCTGCAGTGGACATGTCTGCCTGGGCTCTGGGTGAGTGGGTGTGCCCTCCAAGAGCCCTGTCTGGGGCCCTGCCCTGGGGTTCTGAGTTCCGCTCCTTTTCCCTGTGCTGCTTCGGACTGAGGGCCTACCAGGCACTGGAATGGTCTTCAGCACCTGCTGCCCAGTGGCCAACCTGGGGTCAGACCCACCCTGCCTTCCACAGCCCCTGTCTAACAGGATCCGCGCCAAGCCCTGCAGTGGGGCCTTCAGGCCTTTCATGATGGGTCTGGGCCCCTGGGCTGCACTCCAGTTCCCCCAGCAGTTCGCGGACCTGCTTGGAATCGGTGCGTCAGATCTCCCTGAGGGCTCCCTCCCTCCCGGCACTGCTCCTTCGCTCCACCACTGTTGGCTCTGGGCCTTGGGGGACTCAAGGCCTGGATGCGGGTGCTATGTTGGGCCGACCTGGTGGGAAGACTGCCCTGAAGGTGGCCTTGAACAAGGCCTGGGTGGACCTAGTGAGAAACAGGTGGAGAGGGAGGCCAGGGAGGCTGGAGCTAAGGTCTCAGCCCAGGCTGGGGGCGCCTGCTGGCAAGTTCCTGGTTTCCTGACCCTTTCCACACTTAGAGGCTCTCTGCACAAGTAACCCCGGAATCTGTCACCTCCCTGGAAACACAAATGCACAAGGAAAATAATCCAGAGTGTCTCTTACAGCTCAGAAGGGGAAATGGATGATCTGTCTCGTGGATTCTCAAAATAGCTGGGATTTCTCCAAGCCCAGTGAACTCTGTGGGCCTGAGCTGGGTGCTGGGGCCTGGGCTGCCCGCTGGCCTCTCATCCTCCTCCTGGTGACTGGCTCTTGCTCTGCACTGGGCAGGGGGGCCTGGAGGCGTCCCCACGCCCACCTCTGGGCATCTCCCTTCCCCAGTGCTGTTGGGGTGGGTCCATGTCCACTTGAAAGCCTCATACTCAGGACAACCCAGCCCTTGGGGGGCTGCCCCAGGCCCCCCTCCCCAGGAGGTGTGTGGCATGACTCCTGGGGGGCTTAGTGTGGGGCAGTTTTATATTTAGCCAGGCCATGGCTGCTGGGCCACTCAAGTTACATCTGCACAGAAGCCGGCAGTGCCAGGGCAGGCGCGGGCTCCCTTCCAGCACCGCGGCAGAATTTGATCACGCCGGCCCGGCCCAGAGCACTTCGTGTGGGGAGGTCTGTGGTGGGGGCTGACGGCCGGCAGCTGGGGCCGCTGGCTGCCCAGGCAGAGCAGGGCGGCATGGACCTGAGCGTGAGCGTGGTGGCCCGGGAGACCAGCCAGGGCCTCGGACCTGTCTTCGGCCTCAATGGCCTCCCCCGACCTGCGCCCCCCAAGGCAGCCAAGAAACCTAAAAAGGCCGTTCTCTTCTTTGAGGTGGAGATTCTGGACGCAAAGACTCGGGAGAAGCTGTGCTTCCTGGACAAGGTGGGACTGTGGTGCAGGCTGCGCTATGCCGAGGGTGCTAGGCCTGGGACCCACCCCATCCCAGGGCTCCTGGCCCCCAAGGGAGAGGGGAGTGCCCCTCCCAGCTGTGTCCTGACACCCACCCCTGCTCTGCCGGGTGTGCATGAGGGGGACTGTCCCTGGGCCTGCCCCAGTCAGCTGGCCCCTCGGGATGGAGCACCCTGGCCCCTGGGTGTGGTCGGGAGCTGGCCTCCCAGCGTGAGAGGACCTCACAGCCTCAGTGGACCCTGCTTGGCTCTGGGACTGGGAAGGAGGTGGAGTTCCAAGACTTGCCCCCTTGTGAGGCCAGGCCAGGGGAAGGGGCTTGTCCAATCCCAGAGGAGGTCTGGAACAGTGAGGGCCTTCACTCAGGGAGTGGGGTGGAGGGGGCTGCGAGAGAGGAGGGGGTGGGGGTGGATTGGAGAGGTAGGCAGAGAGGTAAGCCCAGCTCCGCACAATCACACCATCTCCCAGCCAGGCCCGGGGGCGGGGGGCATCCTGGCTGCCTGGTTAAAATGGCCCTTAGGCCTGCGGCTGTCCAGTCAGCCATGACCAGGCTTTCCAACCCTCCCTGCTCCCATAGTGGTTGTCCAGGACCCTAGTTCATCCCGCCTCACCAGGAGGGATCCTGGGTCTGGGCTTCCCGCAGGGCTGATATCTCCGTGGCCTGTTTCCCCCAGGTGGAGCCCCAAGCCACCATTGCAGAGATCAAGAACCTATTCACCAAGAGCCGTAAGTCCAGGGCCCAGCAACACTGCCCTCCGGGACCCCTCTGCCTCTAGGTGGGACCTCGTCCTGCATGCGTCTCCCCCAAGGGCCTGCGGAAGATGCCCCCAGTGTGGCCTAGGCTTCTCTGGGCTTGCCTGGGGTGGGTGCCCCCGTGTGGCCATCAGCAGGAACGCCCTTGCTGGGCTTTCGGAAGGACAACATCCTGCTTTTGCCTGCTCTTCCGGTTTGTGTCCTGGAGCCACACAAGCTTCAGAGGTCTTGCCCGGGGGCTGGAGGAGCTGTTGGGTCCCAGGGCCTCACCAGGCTGTGTGCTGTGCCTCTCCATTCTCCCCACAGATCCGCAGTGGTACCCTGCCCGCCAGTCCCTCCGCCTGGACCCCAGTGAGTACAGCTGTCTGCTTGGCTGCGCCTGGGCTCGTGGGTGGCAGTGGGCAGCCCCTGAGCCCTGGCCTGCCTCTCCGCAGAGGGCAAGTCCCTGAAGGACGAGGATGTTCTGCAGAAGCTGCCCGTGGGCACCACGGCCACACTCTACTTCCGAGACCTGGGGGCCCAGATCAGCTGGGTCACGGTGAGTCCAGGCCCCCTCTCCCAGCAGCCTCGTCTCCCACCTGCCACCTCAGGGTGACTCCCCATTCCCCTGCCCAGGTCTTCCTGACGGAGTATGCGGGGCCCCTCTTTATCTACCTGCTCTTCTACTTCCGAGTGCCCTTCATCTACGGCCACAAATACGACTTCACGTCCAGTCGGCACACGGTGGTGCAGTGAGTGGGGCCAGGTGGGAGGGGTGGCAGGGGGCAGGGGAAGGCCCGCTGGACCTGCCCCGGCTGAACTGGCTACCCCCCCAGCCTCGCCTGCATCTGCCACTCATTCCACTACATCAAGCGCCTGCTGGAGACACTCTTCGTGCACCGCTTCTCCCACGGCACCATGCCCTTGCGCAACATCTTCAAGGTGAGCCTCCAGCTGCCGGCCTGTTCACCCCTACCTCGTCCCTGCCGCCAGCTCCCCTCACCCAGGGTCCTGCCCTCCACTGGGCCTGGCTCCATCCCGGCCCTGCTCCCTTTCAGAACTGCACCTACTACTGGGGCTTTGCTGCATGGATGGCCTATTACATCAACCACCCTCTCTACACACCCCCCAGTAAGTAGCCTGGGATGCCGTGCCCCCACTGTGAACCCCGCCCCCCAGCTCTCCCCTCAGGACCTCCCCTCTCTGTTTCCTTTTCAGCCTATGGAGCCCAGCAGGTTAAACTGGCGCTCGCCATCTTTGTGGTAAGCAGGCTGGGGTGGATGTCGGGGTTGGGGGAGTTGGGGGGCTGGGAGCTGAGCCTGCTTCTCTGACAGATCTGCCAGCTCGGCAACTTCTCCATCCACATGGCCCTGCGGGACCTGCGGCCAGCTGGTGAGTGGCCTGTCCTGGGCAGGGGGTGCTAGTAGGCAGGGCTGGGGGTTCTCACTCCCCCCGTCCTGCCCTCCCAGGGTCCAAGACCAGGAAGATCCCGTACCCCACCAAGAACCCCTTCACATGGCTCTTCCTGCTGGTGTCCTGTCCTAATTACACCTACGAGGTGAGGGTCTGCCCTGCTCTCCTCCCCTCTCCGTCCTGAGGCATGGGGTCCCACGTGGAGGGGCTGGCCTCTAGGAGAGAGGTGCCTGGCTCTGTAGCTGCTTTTGCAGTTTGAACTTGGAACACTTGGAGATGGAGACACTGGCCTCGCTGGGGGCTGGGAGGTGTGTGATGCTGGGCTTGCGGCTGTTGGGGGCTGAGGAGCAGCTTCATCATGGAGTCGCCCTTTACTCGAGGCCCCTCAAGCACTGGAGTTTGATGAAGGGGTGGTGGGAAGGTAGCCCAGAGGGCTGCCCAGCCCTGCCTGCCTTCACCCTGCCCACTCTGCCCACAGGTGGGGTCCTGGATTGGCTTTGCCATCATGACACAGTGTCTCCCAGGTGAGCCACTGCCTCTCCCCGGGGGCCCCGCCCGTCCTGCCTGTGTGCAGCCCTCCCTGACTCCCCTGCTCTGCCCCACAGTGGCTCT